AAAGGGCAAAATAAAAGAGAGATGCCAGGAAATAGGGAGAGAGATTCTAAGGAAATGGCAAGGGGGCTTAGGAAAGGGGATAAAACAATCAAGATATGCTATGTATACAATGTTCCAGCCCCTCAAGATGAACATAATCATATGTTGCAAACATATAATAATAAAAAGGAAAGAGAATTAATCACAGTAATTCAGCATATTATCATAATAAGGGAAACCATGTGACTATTTTAATGGATACAGAAAAGGCATCTGATAAAAGTCAATACCCAATGAAGGCACAATGTCTCAGAATTCTTGGACTATAAAGGGATTTACTTAACTGGTAACTGGAAAAATAGCCAAAATATTTCTACAAAAGAAAACAGAGATCAAAACTTGCTATAAGGACAGGAGCCATTGATACAGCTCAGTGACACAGCACCTGGCTGGCAAGTGGGAGGCTGTGGGTTTGGTCCCCAATACCAAAACAAAAAACAAAAACAAAAAAACCCTCCCCAAACAAAACAAACCACAACAAAACAAGAATTTGGATCAGAAGGTACAGCACTGATGTAAGAAAAGAAGTATAGATTAATGGAACAAAATCCATAAATTGACCCTCACATATGCTCTCAAGTGACTTTCAACAAGAGTGCTAACACAACTCAATGAGAAGATGCAAACAGTGCTAGAACAACAAACAAACACACACACAAACACAAAACAAACCCTCACCTCACACTACACATGTTTACCTGGAAATGGATGGCAGACCTACATATACAAACTAGAACTATAAAACTTCCAGAAGAAAATACATAAGAAAATGTTTGTAAGCTGGAGGTAATCAGAATGTTCTAAAATAGAACACAAATTCCTAAACTAAAAAGAAATATGGTAAACTGAACTTTGTTAAAATGGAAAATACTAGCTCTCTGAAAGACATCAATAAAAGAACAAAATGGCAACCCATGTACTACAAGACAGGTGCACACAGCAGAGGGACTAGCATCCAGAATATATAAAGAACTCGTACAGCTCAAAAGTCACAAGAGAGAAGTAAAGGTAAGAACCAGGCAATTTAAAAATCACAGAGATGTGTGACTAGAAGATACCCAAAGGAGTCATGAGGAAGTGTGAAACAGCAGCTGGCGTGATGGCACCAGGTGCTCACTGGTGTGGCACAGGAGACAGCTGCCCTGCACGGGAGCACAACATCTTCCCTGGGCCTGGGATGAGCAGTGCCACAGCCAACTGGAGCTTAAGTCTCTACAATGCACCTGAAGGAACCCTGGGGAAGGGCCAAGGCTCAGGCTCTCCAGTCCACTCCAGGCCACATCTGTTATGTGCTCTCACACTGCACGCTTCTCATCAGGTGTGGACAGTGTATCCAGGGTTCCTATAGCCCACTCACTGCCAGCACCTCTGTGACAATTCTGGCACAGATGTTAGTCTATTTCTTACCCAGTCAGAACCATACCCTCGGGCTCAAACATAAAAAATGGAGAAATGACCAGGTGTAGTGGCGCATGCTTATAATCCTGGCACTCTGGGGACCTTGGTCAGGAGAACTACAAGTTTGAGCTCAGCCTGAGGTGGGGGGGGGGGAAACTTAGCGAGACCCTGCCTCAAATGTTTGAAAAATGCTTAGGGATGTGAGTTAGTGCAAAAGTCCTACATTTAATCCCTAGTGCACAAAACAAAACAAAAAGAAAAGGGAAGACCACCTTCCCGGCTAATGCTGGAATGAACACTGTGATTTTGGTGGGCTCCTGTGAAGGCCAACGTGGGCATCACTAGGATGTGTGGGGCACCAGGCCCCAATCTACAGAGGCACTCCGCCAGCTATCTTGTGTGGATACCCATTTCAAAGACCACAGGCAGACACTTCTTTTCTTTATTTTGAAGACAGGAACACTGAGGTTGAGAGCAATTTGGCAACTTTCCCAGGCAGTGGGCTGTGAAAGATGGCACGTTGAGGACCTTGAGGGGAGGCTGTGACCAGCAACCATGACGGAGCTCAGCAGCAAAGGCTGCTCTGTGAGAGCTGACTGCTGCTTCCAACTCAGCTTCCCTCATCTTGCCAGAGCTCTGTGCAACTGGAGAAAAGCCTTGTTCCCTCCAGGACACAGCTGGAACCTAAACACCAGCACACAGATGTGAGACACATGTTTTCTCACTTTCTTCCTCATTTCTACGTTGACTGGTGTAAGTGGAAAGTGTTCACCTATGGAAAACCGACCAAATGCTGCCAAAGACACTTTCCCTTGCTTGAGCCTCACTCCTGGTGCTCGCTTTGTGGGGAAACTATCCTGGTCAGCACGCACACTTTTCCACACTGCTCCCCAGAACACATCCCCCAAGTAACGTATTTTCCAGGTGAGTATGTCTTTAGGCTTCCTACTAGATGCTGGATTCCTGGTGAATAACTGAATAAACAGTCTCATAAAACACTGTCAGCAGCAAAAAAAAAAAAAAAGAAAAAAAAATCAGTGATCCAAAGCACTTTTGCAAAAGAAGCAAGTCTCCACTTCTCCTTTCCCTGCTGTTTCTTTCTGATTTTTGAAATACTATCTTGGTATGTAGTCCAGGCTGGCCTTGAACTTGTGATCCTCCCATTTCAGCCTTCTGGGGCCCAAGGGCTGGGGTTCCATGGCTGCAGCACCACACCCAGCACATGGCTCTGCTTCTGTGAGCACTTCTGAAGCTGTGTTGCTGCTGGCAGGCCAGCAGGTGGGAGAGGGCTGCAAGACCCTGACTCTTGGACAGTCCTGTTCCAGAAGAGTAGAGTGTGGCTGCTACTCTGCAAGGCAGTAAGACTCCTCCTGACTAAAGCTGAAGGTTCAGGCCTGAGGCAGTTAGAACGCAGCGGCAGACTGTGCTAATGGCAGCAGTGCTGAATGAAGCTTGCTGATCGGAACAACCAGATGAGTTGGCAATGTGGCACTAACACACACTTCCCCACCAAGTGCCCACCCCAGGGGACCTAGGAGCCAGCCTCCCTGAGCCTCTGCCAACACTTGGGTCTCTCCTCCAGGGCTCGTCTGACACTAGGACCACCTCCTCCAACTGCTGTTGCATACACACACAGTCAGTGATATGGTGGAAGCACCATCCTCTGCAAGGAACACAGCCCGCCTGTTTCCAAAGTTATGGGAAGTGGACAGAGGGACGATGAGATATGTGGCAGGATATCCTTTTATAGAGAAAAAAGATGAGCATCACAGTTTAAAATCTTGCTCCAAATGAAGAGGACATCACACACTTGCAGAATTTCAGACAGGTCTTCATCCCAAGCCCTATCCAGAGAGGTCAGGAGGAGCAGGCCGACAGCTCTGCATAGATACACTGACCCTAAGTCATCTCAGGTGGAGAGCGCAGTCCCTGCTAAGTCGCTCTGAAGGGGAACTGCTGCAGCCAGCAGCCCCAGGGGTGTCACTGCCATCATTTTTGAAATATTTCCAGTAAACTGACACTGACCCGAAATAAAGGACGTGGAAGGGCTGTCAGGGAGTTGAAACCACTACCCTTTCCTCACAGGGACAGCTCTTTAAATGCACGTCGCTGACAAGTCCGGATGTGCGAGCCCTGAACATAGGAACTTACAAACTATTAGCTGTACTTTACCAGGCACTGACAGGAAGTCTTCCTGGAGAAAGACCAAAGTTTACATGACTCATCTCCAGATTCCTGTGGCTTATTCCAGTTTCTAAATTCTAACATACTAGAAGACCATCTTCAGATAGATAACACATTTTCTGGTGTTCTAATATTTTAACAACCACAAGAATAAATGTGAAAATCAAAACTTACAGTTTCTGGATTTAATAAGTGTTTTCTTTCTTGGAATATGTTTTAGAGAAAGTTTGTACATAGTCATTTGTTTGTTAACCTGCTAAAAACTGGTATCACAGATATAGTTTTGTAATGCTTCCTTTCTTAAAAAGCTTTTAAAATCAGACTTTATTGTCACATTTTAGATATTCATAATGATCACATTCATCATAGAAAATCTGTGGCTGTACATGATACAATTTTTTTTTTTTTACCATTTCCCTCCCCTCCTTTCAACACTTTCTCCCCTCCCCATTTACAAAAGCTTTGTTGCCATTGTGATACTTCCTTTTAAGTAAGAAAACCATGGGGACTAGTGTATAGTAATCTATTTGAAAATGTAGGGATGCTAATTTAGTACAATTAGGTGGAAGCCATCAAATTGTGAAGGACAAACTTCTAGGGAAAGGGGCTGCTGTGAGTTCTCTCACCCTGCAGAGCAAACTTCTTTCCCCAACTATAATAAATGTAAAACCTCACTATCTTTTTCATTTATTTTGTCTTCTTTCTCAGGACAACAAAAACCTGGAATGATCTCCAGAAAGAGTCCATGACACCCCAGAAATCAGGTGGCATTTCTGGCAGAGCTGAAAAGTGATACTTTTCTCAGCTTTCTGACTCTTTAAAAAAAAAAAGGAAGGAGAAGCAATTGGTAACTGAGTCTCCTGATTGAGTAGCCACTACCTCCACTTCCCCCTTTCTGTGCTCAAAATGTCAGGTACGCAGTTCCCCTAGACGGCCTTTTGTCTCTGGATATTAATAATGTCACTTTTTCAGGGTCCTGTTTCTTTTCTATACTGTTCTTCCTGAGTTTTCAGGCCATTAAATTAAATCCTCAGTCTCTGTAGTGGGTATTGACAGCCAACCTACATAGGCTCTTCAAACAGGGCCCATTCCATGCAGGTTCCAAACTCTCTTCTTTACCCACAGCTTTCTGGTAATACCAACAGGTCCCACACCCCTTTTAGGTAGGGATCTTCTCCAAAAGCTTAACTTCCCCTTTATCTTCTCCCTTCCCACAGCTCTGGTCCTCCAAACAGCATTACAGTGCACCCCAAAGCCATCCCCTCCTCTCCCTTCTTCCCCTGTCGATCCCATAGTTTAGGACACCTCCAAGGCCACGTGCACTACCCATGCCATGCCTGTTTTAATTCATCTCAGGGATCTTTCAGTCTTCCCTTGCATCCTCCAATATCCTAACCTCCCAAACATTTACGGGGACTTAAACCTATAATCAAGTATCTTTTAGACAATGGTTTTCTTAAACCTACCCACTCACCCTATAATACTCCCATTCTCCTGATACTCAAGCCTAATGGGTCCTATTGTCTGATATAAGACCTTAGGGTAATCAATGCCTGATATCCCAATTCTCCCAGTGATGCCAAACCCTTATACTATGCTCTCTCATATTCCTACCTCCACCACTCACTTCACAATTCTGGACCTCAAAGATGCCTTTTTACCATCCCCCTACGCCCCGAAGGTCAGGGTTCCTTTGCAGTTATGTGGACTGATCCAGACACTCTCAGGTCTCAACCACTTACACCTGTCTTCTCTGTACTAGAACCTCTCCTCAGGGACACAGACCACCCCCTTTCTTTCCTAATCATCAATTTCCTGGACACACCCCTGGTCAGGACTGGCAGACACACATGTCACAAAACTCTTTTTTTTTTTTTTTTTAATTTTATTTAAGGAGAAAAAGAAAAAAAAGCAGAAAAAGGGTACAAGTTATACAGAATTTCAGAAAAAAAGTAAACAGTAGAAAATCACTAGTTAATGGATTACATACTGTCATCTTAGAAATATTTGTTCAAGTTACAAAATTAAAGCTTATATAGTGGACATTCAAACAGTGAGACCAAACAGTTTTGTTCAATGATCCAACAAAACTCTGTAATATCATTGTCTATCTTATACACTTAAACATACATGCAGTTATATCGTTTTTTTTTTTTTTTATTTAAGAGGAAAAAGAGAAAAACACAAAACAAAACAAAGCAGTGTAAGGTTACACATAATACAGAACTACAAAAAAAAACATAACAGTAAGAAATCACCTGTTAATAGATTACATATTATCATCTTGGAAATAGTTGCTCAAATCACAGTATCAAAGAATACAAAGTAGACAGAAAGACTGCAAACAGCTGTGTTCGATGATCCAAAAACATTAATATAGTCAGCTATTTAACACCCCTAAACACACTTGCTGTTATATCCGTTAGAGCTCTTTTTTTTTTCCTCCCTCTCTTTTTTACAACAAAATTTACACATTTTGGATTTTATTACTCCTTAGTTCTTATTACTTTTTTTGGGGGGGAGAGAATAAAGTCAAATATGGCAAAACAAAGCTGTAAGTCAAAACCAAGGCTAGACATAGCACATGATGTAGAACAGAGTACAAGGTTATTAACAGTGGTTATCAACGTTGTCTCTTGTTTCCTTAAAAGGAATTGTCTATCTCATTAGATATTATAAAGTTGGACAAAACAGTAGAGAACAAGACCAATAAAACTTAGGCATTGTGAACATTACAGGACTTCCAAAGGAGACAATAGTCAAACCAGAATGGGTATCTTTGTGAATCTTATTGCCTTCAAATTAGTTGCCTATACCCTCAGACTTGCTACTATCGCACAGAATGGAACAGAGTCTAATCAGTCAAAACAAGATCGTGGGAGTATTACAGGACTTCAAAACAAGTTAATAGGAGATCGAAAAGAGTTACTATTATATATCCTAATTTTTAAAATTTTTCCCTTAATTAAAATAAACATAAGAAATAGCTAAATAATTTTTTTAAAGAATAGTAGTTACCATAGTGTCTGTCTTTTTCCTTAAAATATTTGGATAAAACTTCATATACTATAGCTTCAAATATTTCCATATCAAGAAGCCCAGAATAAAGCCTTTCTAATTAATAAGTAAAAATTTTATAAGGCTTCAAGGCCACATAATGGGGAATCATGATTATCACATATTTTTATATATTTGAATCATTACTTACATTAGGGAAACTATTCGGTATTCATACATGCGAGATTGATTTATTTCACTTATGAGTATGGTCTCAAGCTGTGCCCATTTATTGATAAATATCTCAATGCGATCCTTCTTTATAGCTGAATAATACTCCATTGTATAGAAATACCACAACTTTTTTATCCATTCCTCAGTTGATGGACACTTGGGTTGTTTCCAAGATCTGGCGATTACAAATTGTGCTGCTATAAACATAGGTGCACATATATCACTGTGGTATGATGCTTTCAGTTCTTCTGGGAATATGCCTAGAAGTGGAATAGCTGGAATAAATGGGATTTCCAATCCCAACTTTTTGAGAAACCTCCAGACAGACCTCCACAAAGGCTGTACCAGTCTACACTCCCACCAACAGTGCAGGAGAGTTCCTTTTTCCCCACAGCCTCTCCAGCATTTGTTGTTGTTGGTTTTCTTGATCCTGGCCATTCTTTCAGGAGTGAGATGGTATCTCAGTGTGGTTTTAATTTGCATTTCTCTAATGACCGATGATGATGAGCATTTTTTCATGTATTTATTTGCCATTTGCATTTCTTCATCTGAGAATTGCGTATTCATCTCAGATGCCCATTTTTGGATTGGATCTTTGAATTTTGGAGGTCTGAGTTTTTTTAATTCTTTATATGTTTTAGACAAGAGTCCCTTGTCTGAGAGAGAGTTCACTAAAATCTTTTCCCAGTTTGTGGGTTTTCTTTTCACTATGCTGGAGATTTCTTTTGACATGCAGAAACTTTTTAATAAGAAGTGGTCCCAGTTGTTGATTCTGGGAAGTATTTCCCGTGCAGTTTGAGTCCTGTTCATGAATTCTCTACCTATTCCTATGTCTCCAAGGTTTCTACCTAATTTGTCTTCCAATAGATTTAGCGTTTCTGTTTTAATATTCAGATCTTTGACCCATTTAGATTTTAATTTAGTACATGGTGATAGACATGGGTCTAGCTTTAGTTTTCGGCAAATGGAGAGCCAGTTTTTCCAGCACCATTTATTAAAGAGACTGTCGTTCTTCCAGTGAACCTGCTTGGCTCCTTTATCAAAGATAAGGTGGTTGAGTGTGTTTGTAGTTGTGGTTGTATCTTCTAATCTATTCCATTGATCTTCAGCTCTGTTTTGATTCCAATACCATGTTGATTTTACTACTGTTGCTTTGTAGTATAATTTCAAGTCAGGGATTGTGATGCCTCCTGCTTTGTCTTTGCTGCTTAGAATTGCTTTTGCGATTCTAGGTCTCTTCTGGTTCCAGATGAAATTTAGGAGTGATTTCTCTAGATCTATAAGGTATGTTGATGGTATTTCTATTGGGATTACATTGAATCTGTATAAGAGTTTTGGAAGAATGGCCATCTTCACAATGTTTGTTCTTCCTATCCATGAGCAAGGGATGTCTTTCCATTTTCTGAGATCACCTTCAATTTCCTTTTTCAGTGTATTATAGTTTTCACTGTATAAGTCTTTCACTTCTTTCGTAAGAGTAATTCCTAAATATTTCATTTTTTTGCTTGCTAATGTGAATAGTCCAGTTTCCCTTATTTCCCTCTCTGTGATTTTGTTGTTTGTGTATAGGAATGCTATTGATTTCTGAGTATTGATTTTGTATCCAGCCACATTACTGAATTTATTTATTGTATCTAAGAGTCTTTCAATGGAGCTTAGGGGGTCTTCTATGTAGAGTATCATGTCATCTGCAAACAATGATAACTTAACTTCTTCTTTTCCTATCTTTACCCCTTTTATTTCTCTTTCTTGCCTAATTGCTGTGGCTAGTACTTCCAGTACTATATTAAATAGGAGTGGTGATAAAGGACATCCTTGTCTTGTGCCTGATTTTAAAGTAAAGGCTTTCAATTTTTGGCCATTTAGTATGATGCTGGCTGTTGGTTTGTCATAAATGGCCTTTATTATATTAACGTAAAGACCATCTATTCCAATTTTCTGTAGAGTTTTTATCATGAATAAATGTTGGACCTTATCGAAGGCTTTTTCTGCATCTATAGAAATGATCATGTGATTCTTATTTTTGGCTTTATTGATATGGTGGATTACATTTATTGATTTGCGTATGTTGAACCATCCTTGCATTCCTGGGATGAATCCCACTTGGTCATGGTGTATAATCTTCTTGATGATTTGCTGGATCCTATTTGCCAATATTTTATTGAGGATTTTTGCATCTGTGTTCATTAGGGAGATCGGTCTATAGTTCTCTTTTTTAGTTGGGTCTTTCTCAGGTTTTGGTACTAGAGTGATATTTGCTTCCAGGAATGACTTAGGAAGGATTGCTTCCCTTTCAATTGCATTGAATAGTTTGAGGAGTGTCGGCATTAGGTCTTCTTTGTATTTCTTGTAGAATTCTGCAGTGAATCCATCTGGGCCTGGGCTCTTCTTGGTGGGTAAGGACTTAATTACATTTTCAATTTCAGTAACCGAGATTGGGTTATTCAACAATTTTACATCCTCTTGATCTAGCTTTGGCACTTCATATGCTTCTAAGAATCTGTCTATTTCTTCTGTGTTATCAAACTTTTGAGAGTAGAGGTTTTCGAAATAGGTGTTGATGATCTTCTGTATTTCTATTGGGTCTGTAGTGACTTCTCCTTTTTCGTTTCTTATTGCATGAATTTGAGCTTTTTCTTCCCTTTTTTAAATAAGGTTGGCTAGGGGCTTATCGATTTTATTTACTCTTTCAAAGAACCAACTCTTTGATTTGTTGATCCTTTGGATTGTTTTCTTAGTCTCTATTGCATTGATTTCTGCTCTGATTTTTATAATTTCCTCTCTTCTTTTGGCTTTGGGCTTGACTTGCTCTTCTTTTTCTAGCTGTTTCAGGTGTAGCATCAAGTTATTTATTTGTATTCGTTCTGTTTTCCTGATGTGGGAACTCAGTACAATAAATTTTCCTCTCAGAACGGCTTTCATTGCATCCCACAGATTCCGGGAAGTTGTATCTGCATTTTCATTTTCTTTTAGGTATTGTTTAATTTCTTCTTTAATTTCTTCTGTGACCCATTGATTACTCAAGATTGTGTTATTCAGTTTCCATGTGTTTGTGGGATTTTTGCAGTATCTTTTATCGTTAATTTCTAATTTCAGAGCGCTGTGATCCGATAACATGCAAGGGATGATTTCAGCTCTTTTGCACTTGTTTAAATATGTTCTGTGAGCTAATATATGGTCTATTTTAGAAAATGATCCATGTACTGCTGAGAAGAATGTGTATTCTGATGTTGTTGGGTGGAACATTCTGTATATGTCTATCAAACCCATTTGTTCACAGGTATGATTCAGTTCTGTTATTTCTTCACTCATTTTCTGTCTGGTCGATCTGTCCCTTGGTGTCAATGGCGTATTAAGGTCTCCTGTTACAATTGTGTTACTGATAATTTGAGTTTTCATTTCTGTTAATAATTGTTTTATATAACTGGGCGCTCTGGAGTTTGGTGCATATATATTTAAGATAGTTATCTCTTCCTCTTGGAGTTTTCCCCTTACGAGTATGTAGTGACCTTCTTTATCCTTTATGGTTATTGTTGGTTTAAAGTTCACGTTGTCTGCAAACAGAATGGCTACTCCTGCCTTTTTTTGGATTCCTGCTGCATGCAGAATTGTTTTCCATCCTTTGACTTTCAGTCTGTGAGTATCCTTCTGGGTTAGATGGGTTTCCTGTAAACAGCATATGGTTGGATTTTGTTTCTTGATCCATTCTGCTAGTCTGTTTCTTTTGATTGGTGCATTGAGACCATTTACATTAATGGTTATTACTGTGAAATGTTGGTTAATTGTAGGAATCTTATCTCTCTGCTGTTGCATCTTTATCTTTCTGTTCTGTTTAATTATCTGCTTTGCTTAGTGGTTTTTTCCTTTGTGTATCTAAACTGTCTTTCAATATTTTTTGCAGGGTTGGTTTGGTGTTCATGAAGTTCTTCAGCTGTTCTTTGTCATGGAAGTATCGTATTTCACCATCTATTTTAAATGATAGTTTTGCAGGATATATCAGTCTAGGTTGGAAATCATTTTGCTTTAGGATCTGGAATACTTCACTCCATGCTCTTCTTGACTTTATTGTTTGTGATGAGAAGTCTGCTGTGATTCTGATAGGTTTTCCTTTATAAGTGATCTGTCTTTTCTCTCTGACAGCTTTTAATAATCTATTCTTGTGTTGGATTTCTGGGATGGTGGTTATTATATGTCTGGGTGTAGTTTTATTTTGGTTATGACTATTTGGAGTTCTATATGCTTCACTGATCCTGATGTCAGTTTCTGATCTCATGCTTGGGAAGTTTTCAGCTATTGCTTCTCTAAATATCCTCTTGATATCCTTTATGTTGTCTCCTTTTTCATTAATCCCTATCATTCTTATGTTATTCTTCTTTGCATCATCTTGCAGTTGTTGAATTGTTGTTTCCTGATTCCTTGTTATTTTTAAAAGATCTTTCCTTTCCTGTTCACTAGCTGCAATCCTGTCTTCAAGGTCTGAAATTCTATCTTCATTTTCATTAAGGCGGTTTTTACAACTTTCAGTGGAGTTTTTTATTTCCTGTATATCTCTGTGCATCTGCATTATGTATTCTGTTTGTTTCTTATATTGCTCATCTAGGGATTCTATCTTTTTGTTTAGTTCCTCCAATTTTTTATCTGTGTTTTCTTTAGATATATTTAGAATCTCTTTCATTTCTTTTATCATTTCTTCTTTTATCTGGGATATTATTTCGAGTTTGAATTTCTTTAAAGCTTCCTGGAGTTGCTTATCAACTTCAGTAGCTATTGTGTCTGATATATGAGGAGGATGGGATATATTTTCTTCTAAATACATTCCTCCTAGGGTTTCCTGAGATGGGCTGAAGTTTGAGGTTGTAATTTGGTCTTTAGTTTTGTCATTTTCCTATATTTCTGTGTTTCAAGTGTTATTTGAAAGCCTCCTCAGGATCTGTTGAAAATCCCCTTCTATGTTTGCAGCTACTGAGACTCTGGCACCACTCTACCCCAGGCCATTGGGCCTGCAGAACCGATGGCTCTCCTCTGCTTGTTCAGAACTCCGGGGTTCCAGACAAGCTGGGCCTCAGGGACACTGTGCGCCCACCTGCCCCTTGGTAGATCCACAGCTTTTGAATCGCAGCCGGGTTAGGGTACTCACCACAGGCCTCAGTGCCTCAGGAGCCTGTGATCCCTCCCTGCTTGCAGAGATATCCACAGTCCTCCAGACAAAGGAAGGGCCTTCTGCGGGCACTCCGGATCCGCCCAGCTCCTCCTCTGCACGCAGATGGCTAGGCGCGGCTGGGCTGGGGGGGGGGGGGATAGTGTAGGCCCGCCCACCCGGTGAGCTCCGCAGACCTCCAGGTGTAGCCGGGATGGGGAGGTGGCTGTAGTGGCGTCTAACCCACTGCTCCACTTCACTGCACCCAGAAGCCTGGGGGGTCCGAAACAGACTGAGATTTGGGCAGACTGTGCTGGCCACTCACCACAGGCCGAGGTGCCTCAGGAACCTGGGATCCCTCCCTGCTTGAGAAATATTCACTCCTCCAGACAAAGGAAGGGGCTTCTGCAGGCACTCCGGATCCGCCCAGCTCCTCCTCTGCACACCGATGGCTCGGCGCGGCTGGGCACAGGCCGAGGTGCCTCAGGAACCTGGGATCCCTCCCTGCTTGCAGAAATATTCACTCCTCCAGACAAAGGAAGGGGCTTCTGCAGGCACTCTGGATCCGCCCAGCTCCTCCTCTGCACGCCGATGGCTAGGCCAGTTATATCGTTTAGAGCACTTTCTTTTCCTCTCTTTTGTACAATGACTATTACACATTTTGGGTTTTATTGCTCCCACAGTTCTTATTACTTTTTTTGGAAGAGAGTAAAACCAAATGTGACATAACAGAACAGAGTCGGTCAAATCAAAAGGGTGGACATACTATAGATAATGTAAAAACATAATACAAGGTCATCAACAATGGTTACCATAATGCCTCCTGCTATCTCTAATAGAATTGCCTATATCATCAGTTATAGTAAAATTGAACAAAACAGTAAAGAATGAAACCAATAAAATCAAAACATTGGAGACATTACAGGTCTTCAAAAGTAGATAATAGTCAACGAGAATGGGCGTCATAATGAATCCCACTATCTTCACAGCTGTTGCCTATACTTTTGAACCTAGTACTATCAAGCAAAACAGAATAGAGGAACATCAGTCAAAACAAGATGGTGAGAGCAATACAGGGCTTCAAATCAAGTGAATAGTAAATCAAAGTGGGTTACTATAATATATCCTACTATTTTTTAAATTTATTTTTCCCTTAATTAAAAGGATAAAAATAAAAAAGTAAATAATAAAATGGAGATTGAAATAAAAGAGGGCATAACAACAAAACAGCGCAGATCAAAACATAACCATTTAAGCAAAATAGTGTTTTACCACAAGATAATCCCGACATAAAAGTAGTTACCATATTGTCTCTTTCCTTGAAATCTTTGAGTATAACTTCGTATACTATAGCATCAAATATATCAAAACAATGTAAAACCATTTAAGAGAATGACAGCATTACAGGGTATTTAGAATCAACTAACAGAAAATGAACCATTAATGGTTTCTGTATAATCTCCTTGTCTATAAAAGTTTTTGTTTAAACTATCACATATAATAAATTCCAATAATGCTAAGACCAATGGAGACAGAAGAGCAAAAGCTTGATGAGACTTCAAAACAAGATGATACTAAATCAACATTACCTATTATGATGTCATTTTCTCCAAAATAGCTGTTTCTATCATCCAATCTTCTCTGCCTCATTTCTGTTGAGCTCTTTTTCTGTCATTAGTTATCAGTTTGTCTTCTTCATTTTGTTTTCTGCTCCATTCATTGTGGCCTCTCTGCCACTATTTCTGGATTCTTCGTATTTTTCTTTTTTAGAATATCCTGCAGTATTCTCTGTAGAGTTGAACTGGTGGTTGCATATTCCCCTAGTTCCTCTTTATCCTAGAAGCACCTTGTTTTTCCATCAATTTCCAGGGACAGTTGTGCAGGATATATCAATCTTGGCCCGAGGTTATTATCTTTCAAAGCTTGAATTATTTCCCCCCACGCTCTTTGTGATTTGATGGTTTGTGCCGAGAAGTCTGCTGTAATTCTGATGGGTGTTCCCTTGTAAGTGATCTGTTTTTCGTCTCTGACAGCTTTTAATATTCTGTTCTTATATTGGATTTCTGGAATTTTGATTATTATATGCATGGGTGTAGCTCTGTTTGGGTTGTAGGTGGCTGGGGCCCTGAAGGCTTCATACATCTGAGTATCTTTACCTTTTGCTAATTTAGGAAAATGCTCCTGGATTATTTCTGTCAGTAGCTTTTGTAGTTCATTTGTTGATGTCCCTACCTCTTCTTTTATGTTCTTAATTCTTAAGTTATAGATCCTCTTATCATCTTCTAGTCTTTGTATTATTGCTGTTTGTTTGTTTGTTATTTTTAAGAAGTTTTTCATTTCATGCTCCCACATTACAAATCTGGCCTCCAGTTCAGATAATCTATCCTTAGTTTCTTTCAAGCTGTTATGCCAGCTTTCGATACAGTTTAGTTTCCTGGTAATCTCTTTGAACCTGCTTCACGTATTCTATGCTTTCTCTATTTTCTCCATCAAAGAATTCTCCCCTCTTTTTCTGTTCTTCCATTGCACCATCTGTTTTTTTCTTGGGTGGTGCTTAGCATGTCTCTAACTATTCTGCTTATGTCTAGCTTCAGGTCATTAATAACTTCATTCCTGAACTCGTCTATGAGGCTCTGGAGATAGCGCTTTATGTCTATTGGTGCGGTGTCTGCTGTTGCCTGTTTCTCAGGATTGGGGGCTGAGGGGCCTTTTTTGTTGCTCCCTCTTCCCATATTCTTTGTTCCTAATATGAAAGTGTATATAGGAGGCCCAGCTTCCTTCCTTGTTGGCCACAGTCTGATTGAATTGCGCCGGCTAGGTGTTCCCACCCACTGCAGCGCACCAGGGAGTTAAGAACTGGGCAGCCTATGTGGGGCCCGACCCTTCAGGTCACCTTCAGGCGCTGGGACCTGGGCTGTGCTAGCCTACTGGGTCTCAGCCAGCAGTGTCACGTAAGCTAGGCACTGCTCACCAATCCCACTTGAGAGGGGATACGTGGCTGAAGTCACTACAGCACTCTGTTCCGGCCAGTCTGCCCGGTCCCAGAATGTCCTCTGTTGGAACCTCCTAGATTGTGGAAGAGTCCCAGTTTCTCTCACTCACTGCAGGTCAATGCACGGCTCCCCGCCTGTTCCGCTGTCAACTCCGTTCACCGATTCCCGCTCTCAGAGCTTTCGTGCGTCTCTCTCCCTGCTGAGCTGATTCAGACGCAGCTACGGCAACAGGAAACCCAAATTGCGGTTTCCAATGGCGCGGGCTCCAGCTTCCACGCTGAGGCTTTATCTGTTCCTGTTATAGCACCAGGCATTCCCAGTTGGTTTCTCTCAGCCCAGTTCATTCTTGGGTCAGCAGGGCATATCTCCTCTTTTGCTTAGGATTCCTCACTCCGCACCATTCCTGGATTCTAAGCTGGGTCTTTCAGAGAGCCTCCGTAGCTGCTGCTATCTGTCCCCCATGTTCTCCCGGAAGTCTCCATCACAAAACTCTTAAATACCTTCTCACCTTTGACTGTCCTTTTTCAGGATCGACAAAAGCCTTTCCCACAACCAGGGAGACTGCTGATATAGTTATCAAAGTCTTGTTGTAAGAAATCATTCCAAGGTTTGGTCTACCTCAGAGTATCCAGTCAGGTAATGGTCCAGCCTTTATTTCTCAAATCACTCAACTGGACTGCAGCCAAAGTGGAATGGCTCCTACCTGGTCTTCCTTGCAACTGCAACAGCAGTCAAGGTTACTGGACTGTCATCCTGGTTCCACATCACTCAAGCTAAGTAGTGCCCTCCTGACTCCACACATTCTGAGTGGAGTCACATCTCCTATCTCCCACCCATCTCTGTTTCACCAAGGGCCCACCACCACACCTTTCAGGCCAGGTCATGTTTTGTCATCCTATTTAGTTTCTGATCCCTTACATTCTAAACATGAGATCTCTCTGGGTCTAGGATCTCATCTCACTTATAGTGACGCAGCCACAGCCCTCCGTAACCTTAGCCTATAATTCCCTAAACATGACTGAACTGTCAGGCCTTACATTTCTCATGCTTCCCATTTTCTCCATCTCAACCCCTGGACCAAGGACAAGTCCTATATACAGTTTTAGCCTTTCAGATAGGAAAATAATTACCTCTCAGAACTCCACCCCTCCCAACTCCACACTTATTTTTCAGATTCTTCCTTCCCATGACCCTGATGGAATGACACATTCAGATAAAGGGCACCTTTCCTTCTATCTTTCCTGGGCCCTTTAATTATGACAGTGGCCTGCCTCCTCATAGCACCTTGTCTTTTTATTTCTCCAATCTAGGATGCGAGCATCCACCAATGATTAACTCCTTGTCCTGGCTGAAATACCTGGTACCAGCTTCTACATGGCCATCAGCTGTGATCCCACAACCACCCCTAAACCTGCCCTTGTTCAGAGGACACGATGCTCTTGTTCAGAGGACAGAGTCTCCTCTCCACCCTTTTTCTAACAACACAAAGACAGGAACGAAAGGTTCCTTCCCTAGTGTAAATTACTGTACAGTTTGGCAGTGGTCTAACATGGCGGAAGGCCAAAGCGGGAATGCTTACCACTTCCTGCTTCTTCTTCTTCAGCCCTAACTGCAACTCGTCTTCCTGTTTGCACACACAGAGAATTCCAACCAGTTCCTGACATATCATCAATACCCGCCCCATCGCCACTTCTGATCAGAGGTCGTATAACCCTCTGCCTCTCTGTACCTGGTGGAAGGAGACAGCCCAGCCACCCATGCGTTGTGTGCTCCTTTCCACATCCTCAATAAACTCATTATTATTATTATTATTTTTTTACTTTTTGCTCCTCTGTTGCTCCAGAAAACTCTAATAGCAATGATCCTTCTTCCTCAGCCTCCCGAGTACTGGAATTACAGGAGTGGGCCACCATGCCCAGCTCTAGGGTCCTGATTCTTAAAACCTGAAGAGCCATCCTAGTCCACCCTTCCACAATGCTTGGCAGTCATTTTAGTTTGTCATTTGGATCAGTCATGTGCTTCTGCAATGTTGTTTGGCCATTTTGGTTCGTCGTGTGGGTGATTCTGCCATGTTTGTTTACCATTTTCTTTTTCAGCTGTCCTCATGGCCAGCAGGAAATCTCATACTTACAGAGAAGAGCTAAAGCCTCTGCTTTCACAGAACATATGGGTCTCTTTCCCTCTTTTCTTCTAAATCAGGTTAGACCCCTCCCTTTCTTCTAACGGAAATGAGCCTGAGTACAACAAAGGGAACAGTCAGTGAAAGTCAACTCAACCAGCCATGCAAAAGTAGAGCTGGAATTAATAGATAACAGACCCTATCATATACTGAGAACTTTCTAAGGCTTTTTTTTTTCTTTTTTTCCCATAAATGCTGAAATTGAGGTTTTTATTTGTACTGCCTTAAAGTAATTATGCAAGTTTTTATTACTGGGAAAATGTGAGGCACAGTGAACAATACCAGGCCACTACCTGGGCCCTCGGTTGTGTCAGGTGGCTGATGGGCCTGGCTCAGGGAGGACTGAGTCCCTGTTCCCACAGAGGGGCCTAGGCCAGCCACAACCTCACCGCCTCTGATGAAGAGGACTGAAGTGGTCCAGGAAACTCTGGACGACCCTGTCCACAGACAGCTCCATCTCCTACAAGGACCTGCAGGGCCCACACTGATTTCATTTCCTTCTCTGGAAAACTCTCCTCTGGATCTGTAATCATAATTTGAGTCAAAGGTACCCTAGTTGGAATTTCTTTACATCTGCTCTGACAAGTCAAATCGAAGGTCAAATGTTCATGAGTCTTTAACTGTCCCATGGTGTCCTACTCCCTTACAAGGAAGAGATTTACTAGTAAAGTTGGGGGCAATTCTCTAATTTGAGCAATGGCCAAAGTGGATTTTACCTGTTGGGACTATGCTAGGCCATGCTTCTTAGACTCCCACTAGGTTACCATACAGACCTGTACTACTCTTAATCCTGCCTCAGGTTTAGAGGATCGCCACTCCTGTAAACAGTGATTTCCGAAATCTCTGCAAGCAAGAAGGGCATCAGTGACAGGCCCCTCCAACGCCCTGAGGAGGCATGGTCACTGATGGAATAACTTTGTCCAGAAGGACACAAGAAGGCAGTTATGCAGTTATTTATTCACAGCACATCACAGAGGCCAGGCCCCTCCCCCTAGAGACCTTTGCTTAGAAAGAAAAGCTTAACAGCTCTTACTCAGGCATTGATATCAGGAAAGGGCAAAAAGCTAAGCAGTTATAGACTCTATGACTTTCTGATGCTACATGGCCACGTAGCAATATGGAAAGAAATGAGCTTGCTGGCTAATATGTAATCCTCTATAAGATGCTAGTAAAATTCTACAATTCCTTGCAGCAGTCTGTCTTCCCAGGCAGGTCACTTCATTCTTTACAAGGGGCACCAAAGAGATACAGTTAAAGTCTCTTTGGGAAATCACAAATCTAATAGGCAAGAAGGGCAGTCTTTACCTCAAGGGCAGTCTTTACATTTTTTAAGATAAAATTAGCTCCACTAGAACTATCTGAGAAAAAGACCACCCAAAAGTAGAAAACTACTCCTGTGAACCTCTGCAGGATTGGAGGAACCTCTTCAAAAAGCAAGATTCTAGTACTGCTTTGGGTGCAGATAAACACAGTCATTAATGATCCCTAATCCTCCACAGGTTAAATGGATACCTGTATCAGGACTCCTGTTCTTAATCAGATTCACAATATGAGTAATCTTGCTGGGCTATGGCTCTCAGATTCTTGGTAGTTTATGTCACATCCCTCTTCATCATACTTTCTCCTCTGAAACAACTATAGAAATAAAACTTAATGTCTCTAATTGCTGGATCTGTCATGAATCACCTTTTAAGATACAGCCTGTCATGATTACTTTTCTTTCTTGCTGGGACACAATACCTGACACCCAAAAAGAAGAAAAGATTTATTTAGCACAAAGTTTGTGGCGGTTTCAGTCCATAATCAGCTGGCTCCAAGGTAGGGTGGCATGGCACAGGGGCAACACTTCAAGGCAGCAGCCAGTAAAAGCAGCCAGAACAAAAAAGGGGAAGAACAAGACCCTTCATCCCTTTTATTATATGCAAGCCACCTCCCACACTCCAGGGCAGATGTAGCACTCACAAAATCTCTATGCCTTCCTTTTGTACAGAAGGAGGATATTTACAAAGTAAGGATCTTGGCTCCCTGCTGAGTTTCTTAGTTAAATTTCTAAACTTCTCAAGTTGACACAGTGTATCAACCATAACAAACCCCCAAAATATTTTGACCTGTTCCTTCTTATACTTGTCCCCCATCTACTAGTAAAGTTTATCCATTCAAGGCTTCAAGTGGCGACCCACACAACAGCCCATGACACTCCTGACAGACTCACTAAGCTTTCTCTTCTGGCAAGTAATCCACAATATCCCAAGGTAGTTGGAGAGCACATAATGCTCAGTAGGTCGGGCCTACAGCCCCTTTTAGCTGGTAGTAACTGTATGAAGATGGAGACCTCAACAACCCATAAAGAATTATGGAGATTTGACTCCCCTCCCTGGTGAACAGCTGTGAGCGCGGCCACTGTGGCAACTCAGGACAGGAGCCACGGGTGTTTACTGGGACCTGCGCAATGCTGGGACCTGGTGCGTTGAGAAACCAGGCAACCACCGCCCGCCCTGGTGAGCGGCTGTGAGCCTGCCAGCGCGTGGGCTGAGAATCAAACAGCACATACACACGCACACACACGCACACACACGCGCACACACACACACACACACACACACACACACACACACACACACACCACTGTTAGCAAGTGGGAACCAGTGATCTGGACATCCCTTGAGAGGTTGACTACAGGCAATGTAGCACATAGCGGGAATTTCCTTCTACGATCTCTTTTATCACTGTTTTGCATTGTTCTAACTAATGGTGTTATTTTAGCCTGTTTTGTTTTGTTTTATTGAACTTCAATATACATGAAAGTATGGACAGCTATTTTGAAGAGAATGAGAGACTCTATGAGAGCCATTGGTGACTTCCCTACTGTTTGGTTTTAAAGACCTAAAACACCTTCCTCATTCTGTTTGGATCAGTTTTATACCATGTTGTTTTGTTTAAATTCTCTGTATGGGAAGACATGGACAAATATTTGGAAGAAAACAAGAGACAGTATGATCTGGTCATCTAGCTTTGAAATTTATATCTCTTACATTGCTTTCTTATGTCCTATTTTGTTCTGTTTTGTTGTGCTTAATTCTATCCCCTTTAAAATAAAAAAAAAGAATTATGGGAATTTGGGTCTTTCAGGGGAAATGAAGCAGGAGATTAGGGTGAGGTCAGCCATCTAGGCAACTGAGTATGACCTGTCAGTCACAGAGATCCAGGACACATGTATGGAAAAAAGTTCCTAAGAGCTCCCCCCAGATAATCAGAAAATGCTATCTTCAGTTCTGACTCAAGATAAAGCAAGTTTTTGATAGGATGTCCTAGATCTGCCATCAGCCTGAGAAGTAGAGGCTATGAAAGACCTCTGCCATTAACCTTGTGGCCACTGTGGTCTCTCTTTCACCAGTGCTCTCTCTCTCTGTCTCTGTCTCTCCAAAACATACTTCTTTTCTGTTGTAGTTGATCCATTGTGTCAACTTGAGAAGTTTAGAAATTTAACTAAAGAGACTCAGCAGGGAGTCAGGATCCTTACTTTGTAAATATCTTCATCCTGTGTAAGAGGAGGGCACAGAGGCTGTGAGTGCTACACCTACCCTGGGGGGCTGGTAGCCTGCATACAATTAAGGGAGAAGAGGCTTGTTCTTCCCCACTTTTGCTCTTACTGCTTTGGGTCTTCTTGGCACCTTGAAATGTTGCCCTGGAGCCATGCTACCCTCTTTGGAGCCAGCTGATTATGGACTGAAACCTCTGCAAACTGTGAGCTAACTAAACATTTTCTTCCTTAATTTGGGGTGTTGGGTATTTTGTCTCAGCAATAAGAGAAAAGTAACCAAGACATTTTCTTATCTTTAGTAAATGTAAAATGTCACTACCTTGCAAAAAAACTTAGGGAAACAAGCACTGAGATAAATGAATACACAAAATGTGAACCTTGTTACACAATCCAGGTCAGTTCTAATGGTCTTTCCAGGTTATACTATTGAGAAAGACTATCACAAAGTCCCAAGACAGGAGGCTCTGTCTGCATGTGGTTCCATGCTGGTTCCCAGCTACATGTGGTAGGCAGTGGAAGGACTCAGTGGTATCTGTGGACCCAGGAAAAACTGAGATCACTACAGCCCACAATAAGGTGATCCATACACACTATCATCTAAACCAGCTGCAAAATCACTTTTATTTGGCTTTTTAAAACATCTTCCAATGAGTGGCTCAAAGAACAGCCATCCTTGGGAAGGTGTAGACAGGGGTTTTGTTTTACAAACAAAACTCAGCACCAGAAGAAACTAGAGGATGTCCCTGACCCAACTTCATAGGGGTGTCCTTAACCCTTTACCTCACAGCAGGGTGACCCTGTCTCCTGAGCCCATAGTGAGAGTCTCCTTGTCTGCTGCCTTCAAACCTAGGGGTATCCTTGACCCCTAACCTCACAGCAGGAGTATCCCTGACCCCTGGCCTTACAGTGAGAGTGTCCCTGACCCCTGACTTCCCAGCAGTGTGTTTATGTATCTCCTAAGCCCCACATCAAAGTGAAGGGTTTACACTTCAGCCAGGCACCCTGCCCATCTGGGGCTCTGTTTGCTTCTATCTTTACAGTTAGTCTTGAACTAGGGAATGTACTTTTTTTCCCCCCTTTTTGGTTTTTTTGAGACAGGGTCTCACTATGTAATTCAGGCTGGTCTTGAACTCACTATGTAGCCCAGACTGGCCTCAAACTCACTGAAATCCTTTTGCCTTAGCCTCGCACATGCTGAGATTACAACTGTGTGCTGCCAAGGCCTTGCACACCTGCCAAGGACTAGGGAATATTTAGCTCACAGCAATGACACTCAGGACAACAAGGGCCTCCCACTGATATACAATGGGTGCGGACACATGTACAGGTGTAGAAAAGGCCAGACTAAGGCTCAGGGTGAGACGCCAGGACAGGGCCTGTCCTAGCTGGCCAGGAGTCCAGCAGTGTGGGGAAGGAGCCAGGGCTACCACAGGCAGGTCAGGAAGCAGGACGTGGAGGCCACAGCCTGACTAGGGGTGTCAACATCGTCAGACAGGCTGCTGAAACGTGGAGGTGACTACTACGGTGGAAAAACAAGTGAGTCAACACAAATGCTGACTCACTACAAAAAGAGGCCAAACAAACACTGAGTTATACGTTTTCTATTAGAGCTGGAGATTTACGATCCCTGCCAACAAAGACAGACTCCCTGACTGGAGGAAATTAGCTTAATGGCAGGTTTGGATCTTACACGGAGAAGGTACACCTAGCAGCCATGAACCCAGTGACTTCAAACTGGTTTCAGCATCACAGCCCTCCTCAGCACGTGGCTCTTCCCCCAAGGGAGAGGCATGATGATGAGGGTGTGAGACCCTCCAGGGGTGCCTGGTGCAACTGGGTGGGTGTGGGCTACCACTGCACAGCTGGTGTTCTCTATAATTCTGTTCATTTATCAGCATGGGGTGGGGGGTGTCCAGGGGTCCAAAGGAAGTAAGAAATGCGGCCTCCAGGGGGTTGGGGGAGGGGCTTCAGGGGCCCACAAGAGGTGAGTGGCACACCAGTGGTCTGTAAGAGACAGTACACAGGGACACTCAATGGCTTTCTGAGAAGAGAAGCCAGCACACTGCACCTGCTGTCCTGTGTCTCGAGATCAACCCTGAACCTGAGGGACATCATTCTGAGGCGTAAGTAGTCACCATTCCTGCCACATTCACCTTAAGAATTTACTGATGGAGAACCATGTGGCCTTCGCAGGTCTGGCCCCTTATTGGGGACCTGTGGGAAATCACTCCACTGCCTTGCTGGAGAAGAGCACAGCCCAGAATGCACCATCCTGACACAGGCTCTTGTTTCACATAGCCATCTGTGACCCAGCACTCAGGTTCTTACAAATCGCCAGGAAGCCAGCAGCCCTGCAAGACATCCCAAGGGGCCTGTTCTCACTGCCATGGCCCTGGGGAGCACCTAGGAAGCCCACTGGTTGAGTGGGCCACAGAAAACTACCTGATGGCCCTGTGTACTCTTCTAAGGCCCCAGAAGCAGGAAAAAGGCCCTGTTAACTGAACCTTAGCTCCGGGAAGCAACCTGGAAACTTGCCTTGAGCCAGTCAGCTGCTAGCAAGCAGCCAGGTGGACTCGTAGTGCAGAGGCAGTTGAGCCCGTCTTCAGAAGCTTGGCCCACTGAGTCCCTGAGCAAACACCTGGCCCAGCCCACTCAGCCCCTTGAAGCAGCTGGGCAGACCCTCCTGATCATGCAGCTCAAGAAGCCCACACAGTCCTCAGTCACTGACAGGCATGCTGATCCTCTACCAGGCATGTAGTGTCATCCTCGTCTGGGCCACTGGGGCAGCACCACCTGCCCACAACCTATGGAAACTGACAAATGCCCTACATCTGCAGCTTGTGAACCACAATTAAAGACTGACAGTGAACCTTCCCCACAAAGGCAGCTGCATCCTTGCTGTGATGCTATCTCACCCCACAGCACTCACAGTGCAAACACTAATTACAGCTGAAGAAGGTATGTGGACACTGCACTAACCTTCACTGAGACCAAGGCCAACCCAGCTCATCCAACAAACACCGTCCTAGCAGTAGGCAACCTTTTAGGTGCTAAGCACACTGCCAGCAGAAGTTATACTACTACAAGAGCCACCACACAGGAGTGATAGAGGCAGTGCACCTACCAGGCACAAACGTACCCAATCAGGGACACTACAAGCATGAAGAAAAGCCAGTGTGACACCTACAAAGAAACACAATAGCTTGCGTAGACTGAAAGTGTACAGATGGATGGACCATGCAAGTGAAAACTAAAATTGAGCAGGTGTATCAGGTAAAATCTATCAGATAAAATGATATATCATATATATATCAGATAAAATGGACTTTAAATCAAAAACTGTCAAAAGAAACAAACTGTCACTATGTAATGATAAAAGGATCAATTCAACAAGAGGAAATAATAATTATATATATGCACCCAATTTAGGACCACCTAGTTATGCAAAGCAAATGTGATTAAATCTAGAAGGAGAGATTCCAGCACAGTAACTGTAGACTTTAATACCCCACTTTCTGCAATGAACATAACATCCACACAAAAAAATCAGCAAGGAAACACAAGAGTTAAACTACTACAGACCCAATGTATCTAACAGACATTTACAGAGCATTTCACTCAATAATTACAGAATGGAACATTTCAGGGAAGGTCAAATGCTAGGCTACAAAACAAATTTTCAGCAAAACAAAAAACTAAAAATCACAGCATATACCTTCTCTAATCACAATAACACTAAAAAAATCAACAAAAGAAAGTTTAGAAACTGTACCAGAACATTCTCTTCAATGAAGAAATCAAGGGAAACTTAAAATTTTCTTGCCTCAATGAAAGTGTAACATACCAAAACCAATGAGATGCAGCAAAAGCTGTAAAGTGAAGTGTATTTGCATTTCAAATAGACAACCAAACAGTGCAACTCAAAGCACTACATACAATGTATGATCAAAATATATGGTGAATACTTAATCTTTTAATTTTATTTTTTTAAAGGGAAAAAATTTTAAAACACGATGATTAGTAACAATGATTATATACGTTGTGTATTGTTATCATTAGTTATTCAGAGTACAAGATGTCTGTTTTTAATCGTCCAAATAATATTAGCACAAACCTTTTCAATGAACTCAAGAGAAATTTGCAGTATAACTATCTTAACTACTACATATACATATATTATATGTATTATTAATACATTTATATATTACATATTACTTATATATAATTATATATCATATATAATTTCAGCTTGTCACAGCAAGGAGACAAAATGAAATATATATATATATATATATATATATATATATATATATAAAATACATATATATTCTTTCAGCCTTTCACATTACGGAGACAATATGATACTTAAACATGTGAGTCTGATTTATTTCATTGATGAGTATGATCTCTAGATGCATCCATTTACCTATGAAAGTCTTAAGTTTACCATTCTTTACGGCTGAGTAGCATTACATTGTATAAAAAGACCTTATCTTTTTTATCCATTCTTCAGTTGATGGGCATTAGGTTGTTTTCAAGATCTAACTATTACACATTGTGCTACTATAAACATGGGCACACATATATTGCTGTGGTAGGATGTTTTTAATTCTTTTAGGAAGATAGAAGGGGAACGGTTGGGTCAAATGGGACCTCCAATGCTAGTTTTTGAGGATTTTCCACACTGATTTCCACAGTGGTTGTATCAGTCTACACTCCCACCAACAATGGAGAAGGGTTCTTTTTTTCCATACAGCATTGGTTATTGCCTGATTTCTTTGTAATAGCCATTCTTTCTGGAGTGATATGGAATCTCAATGTTGTTTTAACTTGCATCTCTTGAATAATCAGTGATGTTGAGCATGTTTTTGTGTATTTATTTACTGTTTGTATTTCTTCATTTGAGAAGTGTGTATTCATCTCAGATGCCCATTATTGGATTGGATTTTGAGTTTGATTTTGTTTTTTTAGTTCTTTATATGTTCTTGATAGAAGTCCTTTGTCTGAGGAACAATTGGCAAACTCACATTGTGGGTTCCCTCTTCACACTGTTGATAGTTTTTCTTGCTGTGCAAAAGCTTTTTAATGAGATTCTAGTTATAGATTCTTTGTGATAGTTTCTGTGCAACTAGGATTCTGATCATAAAGTCTTTGCCTACACCAATGTCTCCAAGAATTCTATCTATTCTATCTTCTAGAAGATTTATGTTTCTGTTTTAATATTTAGATTCTTGATCTACTCCTAATTTAGTTTAGTACATGGTAGAAGATATGGGTCCAATTTGAATCTTTAGCATGTGCAGAGCCAATTTTTCAGCATCATTTATTAAAGAGGCTCTTTCTTCTTGATTTTTATTTTTTATTAGTACATTTGCAGTATATAATGACTACATCCTCCATGGGGAGTTGGTACATGTATGTAACACATTTTAATTCTTTTTTCATCCCTTTCTTCTCCCCTCCCTACCTCCTCTGTTCATGTCTTGGATTAACGCCCATTTGCAAAAAAAGACTTAGTTTTCTATTTCCTATTGTCTACCTTTTATTTTATTCTTTATTTATATTTTGGCTTTCTTATATAAAAGAAACCTGAACAGATCAAAAACCAAAGAATAAGATTGAATCAGTAATGTTTCTCGACAAAGAAAATTCCAGGCCTCACTGTTGAATTTTACCAAACTTTTAAAGAAAACTAACACTAATTTTTCTTAAAGTATTCTGAAGTATTGAAAGGGAGATAACCATTCCAAATTTATTCTATGAGGCCAGCATTAGCCTTAGTACCCAATATCAACCAGAGACATAACAACAAAAACTAGTGATTAAGATTCCTGAATACAGATGCAAAAATTCTTAATGAAATTCTAGCAAACCAAATTCAACATGACACAAAAAGATCACACACCAACACTAAGTGGGATTTATCTCAGAAGTACAATGAAGGTTCAATGTACCTAAATCTAAAAAATACATCACATCAACAGAATAAAAACAGTAAGACCACTTCAACAGACACACAAAAAGTTATATTCAATATATTATATTATTCAATAAAATTCAACATACTTCATGGTAAAAACCCTCAAAAAATAAGGTACAGAGGAATGCAGTTCAAACAGTAAAAGTTACATATAATAAACCTAGAGCCCACATCACACTGAATTGGAAATATCTGAAATCATTTTATCTGGATTAGGAACAAGACAAGAAGTCCACTTTCACCACTCGTAATGCAATATAATATTGGAATACTGAGTCAGAGTAATAAGGCAAGAGAAAGAAAGGGCATATAAATAGGAAAGGAGCATGTCAAATTATGTCTTTTTGCAGATGGTATGACTGTATATACAGAAAACCCTAAATTCTCCACCAAAAACTGTTACTACTAATAAGAGAATTCAGCAAGACTGCAGATACAAGATCAACATACCAGTCATTAGCTTTCTATATATCAATAAAAAATTGCTGACAAAGCAATCGAGAAAGCAATTCTATTTATAACAGCCGCCCCAAACAAGCAAAACAAAACCAAGGAATAAATTTAATCACGGAAGTGAATACTTTTCTCTATAATGAAAATTACAAAATATTTATAAAACACATTGAAAAAGATACACTGAAAAGCTGAAAGATGTCTCATATTTAATTACTGGAAGAATTAATATTGTTAAAAATGTCTGTACTACCCAAAATGATCTACAGATTTAATGCAATCCCCATTACAATACAAATGATAGCCTTCTGAACAGAAATAACACTTTTATAACTTATGCAGAACCACAAAAGACCTCAAACAGCCAAAGCACCCAGCCCACAGCATTTTTGTTACAGCAAACAAACACAGGAAAACAGGTCAGAAGAAGATGTGACCGTAGGGCAGCAGTATTTGGTCATGCAGGGTCCTCAGGGTCCTATGTCCTGAGCATGGGATGGGCTGCACTGATCCAGAAACAAGACAGAACTCCAGAGCACGCAGCTCCTCTGTAGCTTGGCTGAAGGTGAATGCTAGTGTGGATTTTTTGGCTTGATCACTGTGCTGTGTCACAGGGGAAATTAGGACTACAGAAGGACATGCAGGAACTCTACTAACTGTGCAGCTGTCATTGAGCCTAAACTTATTTCAAAATGTGGGATTTTCAAATTGGGTAGACAAGAGTCAGTTTACTTGAGATCACAGACACAAATCTTGTCAAGACAGTGCTGGGGACTCCTGCAGCTCTTATGGCCAAGAATGCTTTAGGAAAGAGAATTTCTCTAAATCTGCAAATCTTTAGATAGAATTTTCCCTAGGTAAACACATTATTTAAGAGGGCCCTGCCTTAAATATATCCATTGTGAATATCATTCTGGCTGAAATTAAATCTTCTCCATTTAAATTAAATCCCTGGGTTCAGTGCACGATATTCATGTGACTCACACTACACCAGAAACCAAGGCATATAGAAGCCCGACTCAGTGGTTTCTGGGAGGTGATAGGATTCCTCAGATGGAGCTTAGCATTTTCAGTCTGCCATTTGGAGGACCTCTGGGCTGACAGGAGGTGAAAGCATCCACCCTGATGCTGGAACTTGACTTCAGTTTTCTTTCCTTTTTTGGTGTTTGAGACAAGGTCTTGCTATGTAGCTCAGGCTGGCCTTGAACTTGTGGCCAGCCTCCTGCCTCAGTCTCTCAAGTGCTAGAATTACAGGCATGCACCATCATGCCCACCTGGTTTGACTCTTCTGCCCCCCAGTCAGCTGTGATTCTCTGTTATGAAAAACATATTCTAAAATCAGTGTGTTCTAAGAAAGTACCCAGGAAGGAATGGCATGTCTCAGAGTTTCTCAACTCCTCAGCAGGAAGGCCTGGGCAGGGCATGCTGGCAACCCATGGATTTCCTCCTCGGGGACTGACAGCTTGCAGGGTGCTGTTGACCTCTGGGGTCAGCTGCAAGGTAACCTTAAGGAAGAGCCTCCAGGCCCCTTGAACCTGTAGAGGAAGCTCTGCTGCTCTGATGAGGCCACGTGCCCAGTGGTAATACTGTGCATACCTGAGACACAGGTTTCTTCTCTCGTCCCCAGCCAGGAAGGCAAACAGACACTTACAAAGGTGATTTTGTGACTGTGAACTGGGCTGTAGCCCACAATTTGTGACTGCAGTCTCTAGTACAGACAGGAAATAGCTGCACTGCTGGCAGCCCCACTGGCGGCCACAGAGCAGCCTACTTCTCAGTAACTGTCGATAGGAGCCCCAAGTCTCAGATCCTGCTGGCCCCACAGCTCCTCAGGTAGAGTATGAGAAACGCCAAGGAGTCTACTCATTGGATTTCATCTCCTGCCCTGATGGGAAGGGAGGAAATCCTGTTAGGAATGGTGGAAAACTGATCAGCTTCCCCAGGCTGTAGTCACTCATATTTTAAAGGCCATTAAGGGAAGATTCTGCCACTCAAAATAGGAGAAGTAAATTTGCATGGAAAAAGGGCTTTATGCCTTGTTGGGAAAATGGTATATTATGGAGGTGCACAGATCTGGTTGAAGCCACACCCCCAGAAGCAGCACCAGGCAGTAAGTGAGTGGGCAGCAGTGTCCAGCCACAATGCTGATGAGGGAGGGGCAGCACATCAAAAGGGTACTCATGTCCTCCTGGATGCTATTAAATGCTGTCATTTTTAATCCAGCTAAAGGAACAGTAGAGGCCAATAATCAAAAGCAATACTACTTTCAGAAGGTAATTATTACATGAAGATTCCAGTTTTCTTCAAGACTGAAATAGTTTTCAAATTCAGACGGAGATGTCCACTGGCTTGATAGGTGTTAGTGGGGCTTGGGAAAGCTCACATCCAGCAGGACAGAGAGACTGGTGCAGGCCTAGATATGGGGCAGCCCCTGTGTTCCCATGCCAAGCCACCAAAGAGAATGGGTGGCTCAGTATTTGTATGGGATGATGTGCTGTGGACCACCTCATGGCTGGTGGTCACTGCAGTGGCCACCAGGTATGCTCAGGCCATCCAGTGGGACCCGTTCAGGTGCAGCCTTCAGAGACAGGCTGGGGGAACGATACCAACTCAGCCCCAGGAACCTCAGCTGCTAGGGTCTCTGCAGGTTACCCCTCCCTAACTTCATGCTGTACCTCCTTCTGGGCTCCAGGAGAGCTGTTGCCTGGTGGTCTGGTCCACTTCCCCAGAAAAACACCCAGGACACCTGACAGTCAGGGCCTGTCCTGTGACCTTCCTCTTTGCATCTCTCACTGACCCAGACCCTCTGCTTCCAGGCTGCCCTCACGGCAGTACCTACTGAGACTGTGCCAAGTCACCGGCCTCCAACCCAGATCCTCTCACCACAGGCTCTACATACTGCTCCTCCACTCTGCCTTAGTGGATAGCAAGGGGAGGTCAGACAGATCCTGCAAGAATGAGTCCTGAGCATCTCAGGCCTTCCACAGGAAGGCCAAGGAGTCTGCAGAGAGCTCTGAGCCTGGCCCTCAGGGTTGCAGCAGTATGGAACTCACACTCTGTGCCCACTGCAGGTGGCCTGGGCTTCACTGCTTGCAGGGCCCACACACACTGACACTTGCACTCAGTCCAAAGCCTGGCCACACAGGCATGGAGTGTGTGCATTGAAAGAAGCTGTGAACAAACAGCCATTCACACAGGAAAGCATTCATGTTAACTTTTTGTTACTGTGACAAAATGCCTAAAAATAAGCTCAAAGGAGGGTAGACGTACCTTGCCCCACGGTGCTATCTGCTGGCACAAATGCTCCTAGGTCTGTGGTAAGGCAGACATCACAGTGGCAAGGCTTGGTGGATCAAAGCTGCTCACCTTGGGGAAGCTGAGAAACAGACACAAAGGGGCTGGGGACAAGATATACCTTTCCTAGGCACACTCCCAGGGACATGCTTCCTTCAGTAGGTCTGCTGCCAAAAGTTTTCATCACCACCCCTTAATACCATCAGCTATAAATCAATGGATTAATCCACTGGCAAGATCAGAGCCTTACAATCCAATCATCTCCTGAGGGCCCTGCCTCTGAACACTGCTGCACTGAGGCCTGACCTGCATGTGGTGGGCTTCTGGAGGAGACAGGACACTTGTCAGAGAACTGTTCTCGTGCCTGGTTTGCCTCACAGAGCACAGTATCTGCAATGTTCATACATGTTGTACCACAGTTCAGAATTTGCTTTCTTTCTGAGGTTGAATAATATTCTTTTGTTTGTTGCAATGTTTGGGATGTGATTTGTGGATCGCCTTTTCACTTCATTCCCTGTGTTCTTACATGCACAGAAGTTTTAAATGTTGGTATACTCTAATTTATCGATCTTTTTTCTTTTGTTTCCTTTGCTTTGGGCAAGAAATCACTGCCATGTGCAATGCTGTGAAGTGTTTATGATTTCTTCTAAGAGTGTCATAGCTTTTAGTGTTAGGTGTAGGTCTTTAAGTCACTTTAATTTTTTTCACAGTGAAAATATGGGTACAGCTGTGTTCTGCTCATGGCCAGAAGATTTCTTTTTGAATAGAGATCTGAAGTGATCTTATTTTTACTTCCTTCACTTCAAGCCAATCATGAAATTTCACAGTGATGTCATATGTATTCTGCGGTGGCAGAAGGGAATGTACTGTTCTAAATCACTGCTGTGGACCAGTTGGGCCAGGGAGGTGTAGGAAGGACAGGCCTCACTTGGTGGGGCGGTGGGGGGCTGGGGGGACAAGCAGGCAGGTGATGTCCTGTAAGCTTAAGAGCTAGGATGAGGGGCCTGGGAGTTTAGCTCAGCGGCATAAGTGCCTGCCTTGTAAGCAGGCAGTCGTGAGTTCGATCCCTGGCACCGATTAAAATGAAAAAGACAAAAAAAAAAAAGAGCTAGGATGAAATGTCCTGGTGGCTTCTGGCCTGCACAGCTTGCCAGACTTTCCCATGGTAGCCAGTGTGCTATTGCTCTTCGTGGCTGCCTTTGGCTGTACCCTCAGTGGAGACAGAGCTGCCTTCTTCTGTAGCTCACCTTTTCCACAACAATTTGGCCCTCTGTGCTTCCAACTCATCTTCCACTTTGACTTTCATGCTTCTGTAAACTCTCTCCCAAAGGTAAGCAGTATCAAGGACACATCATCCAGGATGTGCCCAAAAGCTGCTTCTGACTCGGTAAGGCCATCACTAACCTGGTGAGCAGTTCTGCAGGAGAAAGCAAGCCACCACTGCGTGGATGATCTCTCCTAGTGGATGATATCCTAGAGTGGATAGTCCTCTCTAGTCCTCTCTAGTGCTGATGAAGATGCAAAAAGGCCACGGCTGGAAGAGAACATGCAGTGAAACACTGCTCAGCCCTCTACTGCTGTGATGATCGGCATATTATGTGCTTGAGAGCATCAGTCAACAATAACTGGTTTCTGTGCCCAAGGAGTAAAGCAGTGTCTTCCCCTCCCTCAGTGTTGACAACAACAGATCTGCAGTAGCATCCACATTCTACAAGGCAGAGCAACCACCCCTGCTGAGATGCTAAGGCCCAGCTGTGTCTCCTCCTGCTGGACTGACTCCCTTGCCTGCTTCCCCCAGCCCAGAAAGGAACTCCCCAGTCAGGTGCACCCTAATTTTTATTTTTTTTGTAGAAAACAATAAGCTGATTTCATATTCATATGGAAATGCAAAGAACAAAGAAGAGCAAGTTTGAATAGTTAATGCTAACCAACTACAAGAATTGTAATAAAAAAATGAGTAAATGAAAAGTTTGTAAATGTCAACAGATCAACAGTAGAAAAGACAGTCGAACAAACCAACACAGCTGACACTGATTGTGAGGAGAGAAAGGCCTGTCTCTCACCAATGGCTGTATCAACTGGATAAACATAGGCAAAACCAGGAAAATGTGTCCTCCCAAATTCTTTTGAAGGCCTAATCTTTGATTTGACAGGATCTGAGGTAGGTTCTGACGGCTGACCAGATTCAGACAAAGGTAGGGTGAGGGAATACGAGCGGTGGGCTCAGCTTCCAGACTCTACCCTGCCCTGTTAGGACTTGGAAGAGGAAGTAGCCATCTGCTAGTCCAGAAGAGGAGCCTGGCAAGAAGGAAGGGCTGCCAGTACCTTATCTGGGACTTCCAGTCTCCAGAACTGTAACCAGCTGCTCTTAAGCCATCTTATACGTGGGATTTGGTCTCCACAGCCTGAGTTGAGTAAGACAACAACTCGGGCTCTATGCCAAAATTAACTAAGAAAGGAAAGCAGACCTGCATGAAAAACTTAAAACATACAATTTTTAGGGGGAAACACGTGAGGAAACATTATGAACTTGATTAGTCAAAGATTTCTTAGATTTAACACAAAAGCACAATACATAAAAGGAATACTGGTAAGTTGGATTTCCTCAAAAATTAAAGCTTCTCTTTGAACAAAAGAGCAAATGACAGGCCACAGATGCAGAAAAATATTTTCAAATTCTCTATCTGATAAAGAATTTGTATCCACAATACATAAATGTTAAAAATTCAAAAATAAGAATACGAACAACAAAATAATGGACAAAGACATTTGAACACTTTACCAAAGAAGACAAATGAGTAACAAAATAGTCCATAGTAGCTCAGTAATCAGTAGGAAAGTAAAAAATTAAAGCCACAGTGAGGTACTGCTACACACCCAATACACACTTTTTACATTACTCAGACTTCTTCCTAAAATAGTCAAGCATAATTTTCACAAATATAATCGTTACTTTTAAGTTGTTTTAAATGGGTATAGCTATGTAACTAATAAAGAGAAATTCATTTCTTTTCATTAAAAACATCAAAACAAAAAACAAACTTTTAGTACACATAAAACCTAACCAGCAGGGCAGGATTCTAAGTCCACACGGGGTCACTGGCTTTTTGGTTTCCCATGAAAATCCTCAGCAACGTACAGTGCCATCTGGAGACAAAACACACACAGCTCCTGCTGGCTCAGACCACCCAGAGAGGCGGAAACAACACTACCATCTAGCTTGCAGAGGCCTGTCCTTAGGAGGCCTGGGTCAGCCCCAGCGTCCACCAGGAGCACACCACCACACCACAGCACACAGCCCCGTGATAGAAAGGGCTGCGCTCAACCACAACCTGCACAGGAAGAGCAGTCCTCTTACAAGGAAGCCAGACACCCCACAGGAACAACCAAGACAATCACCAATCTCATGATACCCATGGCTGTTTATTCAAATATAGCAACTCAGATCTGAGACAGTGGGTGCTGGTTGTCCCTACGTCTGGTCTCCAACTGGCACGTCCACTGCCACATCCACTCTTGCCTGGGGTGACATCCACTCCGTGCCTGCTACCATGTCTACTGTATGCCATCTGCCACATCTCCCCTGTGCCTGCTCTGAAGCCACCCTGCTGTCAGTGCTGCACATGGCCACCCTAGCTCCATCAAACATGTCAGGGACATACTATAGAGGCTAAAAAGCCGTAGGGGTCCTAAGCATGCTTCACACCTTGTTCTGGCATCCTGGGAGGGAACCAGCATCACCTGAACTGTTAATCTCTATGGGGCCAGGAGAGGCCCCCCTAGCGCACTGCATAGTCACTGAAATGTAGATGCAGCGAAGACACAGACTGTATCCAACAGCACATTCTCAGGCCTGGGGCAGGACGTGGCCTGGGCACTAATAAGCGGCTTCTCCAACAAGGACAAACAGTTACCAACTCACTCCTGGCCCCTGCATCAAGAACGTACACCTGAAGGCTGTCACCAGTATAGCCACCCACATCAGGGACCAATGGCAACAGCTGTTACCCATGCGGCCAGTCATAATGAGGACAAACAGCCATGGCTGTCATTCTCCCAACCAGCCACCTGAATCAAGGACACACAGCCATCACCTGGGTCAGCAGCTGGTCTGGAGCCAGTTGGTTTATCCAACGTGTGTATCGTGCGGTGGAGTCTGGGGGATCTCTCCTTACTTGGCATCCTATGATCTGTGAAAACAACAGACAGCACTTAGATACCCTCTAAACAGGTGTGTCATCCCCGTATGTGGGTCTGAGGCCATGTGGAGCATGTGTGTCCAGACACAGCCTAACTGAAATCTCTGGGCTCTGGGTTGAGGTAGGTAAAGCCCCCATGAAGAAGAAGAGAGCCACCTGAGCCCAGGCAGGACCCAGGTCAGGAGGACACCTTCTACAGCTATGTGCACAGACCACAGGACTGCTTTCTCAGACAACAGCCCCATCGCAGCACATATCTTGGCTCTCACTCTTCATCCCCAATATGACCTGAGGTGGCACACATGGGCTTCCTGGCTTCCTATCTCCTCCTACCCTCCATCACAGTCCTGCTCCACCTGGCCTTGAACACAGCCCCCTCCATTTCCCTCCCCTGCTCCTCACCTCTGCCTAGCCCTGGCTGCCTGTACTCCATGATCTAGACAAACTGTCTATGGGCCTCCCAGTGGAAGAGGAGCCCAAGCTTCTCTGCCTCCACTGTGGACATAGCTCAGGCAAGGCCACTGGCTTGAAGTGAACTGTCTTCACTCAGCTGGAGTCCCTCCTTGTGGGACAGGGGAAGGCAGAGGGAATACAGCAGTGGTGAGTCCTCCTTAAAGGCTGCATGAGGGTTCTAAGAGAGCTGAGAGTAAAAAGGACAGAGGAAAAACAGCTCTGCAGTCCCAGAAGCCTCATCCTCCCTCACTGTGAAATGAAGCTGCGTGTGGGTCATGAAGGAAGTTTAGCTGCATCCTTACCTGGCCTCAGGCCCAGTGGCTCCTATGAACCTGGTACTAAGCACCCTAGATACTGTGACATTGACAGTGGGCCAGTCATCTACCCTTTGGGAGGCCATTTAGTGAAGGCTGACCATCAGTCCCCAAGTGTCCATCTATCTAGAGGCCACAGTACAGGACTGATGCACTGCCACACCTGCCCATGGCATCTGTCTGTGGGATGCTGCCACCCTGCTGTCCTCTGTACTCCCAAAATGGAACAGCCTACCCCAGAACCCTTGTGCCATGCTTCTACTTGGAGACTCCATGGGGAAGGTTCCTTCTGGCTACTTCAGGGCCCTGCAGAGCAAACACAGACTCTTCTGATTCTGTCCTACCCCATCCAGAACTGATCATTGCTTTGAACACTCAAGAAATGAGTGATACATAGGAATAAATGTTATACTTGGAGTGGCATAATGACACTCAGATCTAAAACCCTAAGGTTCTGCTGTGATTTATATACAATGGTACAATTTATGAAAGCTGTCATCAAGAATCCTTCTTCATTAAATGGTTTTCTTGAAAATGGCCTTAAGGAGATAATGACCAAGTAGGAGCAGATAGCCAGCATTCATTTCATTCTCCCAGCACAAACTACAAATATAACTGACAAACCACTAACCAGAATCTGAAGATTAGGGCTTTGTAGGCCACAGCCTAAAGTTAGCACCATGGTAACAACTTTTCTAGGCTGGCCTTGTGTTGTTGTACCACACCATTAAGACATCTTGGGTGGGGGATACAGCTCAGCAGCTCAACTGGTTTGCCTGGCAAGCACAAGGTTCCCAGTACTATAAGGCCAGGGAGCACAAAAAACAAAGATACTTCACCTACCCTGCAGCTGGGGGAACATGTACCACAGGGTTCTCCACGCATGGTGGACACAGCTTCCAGAGGATTAACAAAGTCAGTGAGAAAAGTTACAGCCTAGCAGCCTAGACTTCCTCCCTAAAGACATATGTCACAGCTGCCTAAGACACTGACCGTTTGCACTTTTCCCTAAACATTAGTGTGCATCTGGACAGATGCCATGGATAGCTGCAAGAGGGGCTGACCTGCTGGTCAGGGTGGAAATGAAAGCATCACTGTAAATGTCAGCATTCATGACAAGACTCTCCATGAGTTTCCACTTACAGTACATTTAGAGAACCAGAAGCTGTCATTTGCAGCTATAAAAAGACATAGTACCTATGTACAGAAGGGTACTGGCCCAGTTACACAGACAGACCTGGCTGGGGTCTTTGGCCTTTAACCTCTCAGGCTGGCATGACCATAGCATGGGTCACACATAGGCCTGGGGCTTGGGCCCCAGGCGAACATGGCCATCAGGCTGGATCAGAATATGGAGGCCTACTTTTGGCAGTTTCATGGAAGTAGGCACAGTCTGAACCCTGCAAAGTGGATGCATTTCTTGATATAATGCTGTTCCTTTCTTGGGATCTTCACATGCAGTATTACCACACCCATCAGAGCTTCTGGAAATCTAGGATTCTGCCTCTCCTTCACATAAACTGACAGAAATTCACCCAAAAGGACTTGTTTCCATTTTTTCCTTTTTCCAAAAAAAGGGTCCAGGTCTCCCTCCAAAAAAAAAAAAAAAAAAAAAAACCAACTCTGTGCATTTCATCTCTCTTCTTATGAGACTGAGAAGTTTCTGGAGCTGGGTAGAAATCCCTGAGTTATCAGTGATGTGATGTGGGCCAGCCCCAGGGCTGGGGAATGCCACCGCCTTGCCTTGATGGTGCTCTGGTGGTCCCATGGTGGCATCTGCTGTTGCAGCACTGTGGAGTATTTTCTAACATCTTCCATGCCCATAAACTTTAAAAAATCAACTTCTGGAGTCTGTGGTCACTGACTGCTATGAATACATGTGGTTTCCATATACTTGTGGTTCTTAAACTCACTGGGCACAGGGGCTTTCCAGAATCTTCTGAAAGCTGCAGCACTCTTTTACCCTCCCTAAAAGGTGTCCCAAGTCCTCTGGTCACCCTGGGACCTCTGCTGCAACCTCTGCACCCAAACAGGTGCAGCTGCTTGGCTCACCTATGTTCCCAGAAGCTGACTTGCATTCTCTGTACTTCCTGTCTGCTTCCACACTCTCTGCCCATACCACTCCCTCAGACTGCTGTGCCTGGATCAAGCCCATGCTTCCATTCTGCAATCCTGTGCTCAGGTGGCTGAGGCCTCCCATAGCAAAGCTGAGCATCTGCCTGCTGAAAGGAGTGACCAGTGTCAGAGGTAGCTGCAAGGGTCTGATGTGAGCTGGGAAAGGTAAGGCAAGGCAGGAGGCCTAAAGGGCTATGCAGTGAGCTGGACACAACCGTCATTGAGAGCCACAGAGCAGCTGCAGGACTTAAGGGTCCCCAGATGCTGCTGGATGGAGGTTCCTATCTTCCTACTGCATACTCTAAGGATGTGTTAATAACATTTAAACTTAAACGATATAATTAGCAATTCCAACTCAAGGAATAAGGGTCTTCAGCATCCAGCTAGGCCTGGTGCCACAGGCCTACAATCTGATTCTGGGAGGCTGAGATAGGAGGGTCCCAAGTTCAAGGCCAGTTTGGACAACTTAGTGCTTGAGAAGCTCTGTCTCAGCAATAAAAAGTAAAGGGCTAAGGATATATCTCAGTGTGAGAGTTCTGGTTCAATGCCCTGTAGCACACACATACCAAAAACAAACAATCACCCCACTTAACCCAAATGCTCCCCCCTGACAGCTATCAATGGGTGTATTCTGGGTCAGCAGCTACACAGGAAAGGACACACTGCAGCATCAATTCAGATCTCTGAAATTTGAGGGGAGGCCAAGGACACCAAGGGTGTGAGGACAAAGGCTAAGATGGCCCCCCAGGGATCATGGCGTCAGGCATTGCTGAGGCTTGAAGATACGCGGGAGGAACATGGCTCTGAGTGAGGTGTCTGGGTGCGAGGTGCCACAGCTCTCAGCTGTCTTCATATCAAGAGCTCAGCTGCTATTCAAATAGTCCTTCCACATCCATTTTCAAGTGAGAGCTGCTGTCCAAATGAAAAGCACACTCTTCTTCAAGCAACACACTCTTCTTCAGTGCTTAGAGAGCTGTCACCCCAAACCCCTCCCTGCACACATGATCCTTTTACCCTAAGGAAACCCCACATCAAGAGCTCAACTGCAGTTCAGCAAGGTGGTGGCCCAGTGGGTGTGGCACTTACGCTGGTTGGGTGCTGCTCAGCAGCCTGGTGTTGTAGCCTCACTCTCTGTGGCATCATCACATCATCCTGTGGAAAAAGCATATTTAACACTTGTGTAGAGCCACTCTGACAGGCGATAAGGAGGTTGGCAGCCCATAAGAGAGAAGACCCTCTGGTCACCAGGGAAAGAACCTGCCCCATGATGGTCAGAAAATAACATTTTGACAATTCCCCCATGACTGAGGAGATCAGGTGATGAGGATACTCCTGCCTGCTTCCAAAAGGGGATGCCACCGCTCTGAGAGATGGCACAGCATCATCCAGGAAAGATGGGCTACACAGTTCCACCTCTGTGTAGACCAAGCCCCACCTAAGTAAGACACATGCAGGGACATTCACAGAGCACTGCTGGAGCAGAACACCCCAAGGTCCACGACCCAGACCCAGAACAAGTCACACACTTTATTATGCATCATGCATATTACTTTCAACATCTATTCAGTGTTGAACTAAGTTATGGTTGCTCACATTAATAAACTCCACAGACCTAATGGTGCATGAAGAGACAAGACAAGAACACACACAACATTCATTACTTACATATTTAAATTTGAAACCAAACAAGATTAATTATATTATTATTATTATTATTTTTGTACTAGAGACTGAACCACTGAGTTACATTCCCAGCCCTTTCAAAATTTGTTGTTGCTGTTGTTTCTGAGACAGGATCTCAGTAAGCTGCCCAGGCTGGACTCAAACTTGCCAACCTCCTGCTTCAGCTTTCTGAGGAACTGAAATTAGACACTGGCCTTTCCATCTTCCCTAGCATTCCGAGCAACTGGCTTTGATAGACTGGTAGAAACACCTTTTGAAGGCACCATTCCAGCAGGAGCTGGGCATCAACACCTCACAGGTGTGGGGCAAGGTTCCCCAGGAGGTGCTGGGTGCTCTGAATCGGTGTCCTATGCCAGGATTCACAAGCCTAGGAACTGAAGGGTAGAAGTGGGGGTAGCCCCACTCACCAATGCCCTCTGTGACCCATTAGCAAAGGTTCTGCTTCTTGTTCCCATGACTTTATGCTCTGCTGGCCTAGAGGTCTTAGTTCCAGAGAGGCAATATTTCCACCAAAAGACACAACAGGCCTAGTGGGCTGGAGGGTGAGGTACCACCTGGAGTACCCAGGCCCCTTAGGCTTCTGAGTCATTCAGCTAAGACAGGGTTTAGGGTACTGGGAGGGTCTTCAGTTTGGACTGGAACTACAATTAGGTTTTTTGGGCTTCCAGCTTACAGACAGCAAAGCCTAAGACTACTCAACCTCCGTGTCATGAGAGTCAATCACTTACAATATGTCGCTCTCTATATCTGCTTATCTCAGACTGATTCAGATTCTTTGGAAAGTCTTGACTAATACAAGAATAACTTAACCTCCAATTTTACCATTCAAGGATCCACGCAAACAAGCATAGTTACCTACTACTTCTCAGCTCTGAAAAAGCCAACAAGCACTCAAATATGACTCCATCACTTCTCCTAGAATTATCTCCCCTGAGAAAGTCTAAACAAAGTCAGCAACTGCAAGATCAAAGAGAACAAAAAGGGCATGAACCCAATCACTGGCCAAAGTGCTGAGAAACTAAGGGTGAGCAAAACACTGAAGTCACAAAATGAGGACTGAAGCAGGTACCAAGCTCTTTTAGAGAGGAGGAAGACTAATTTTTTAATAGTTAAAAAAAAAACCCCAAATTTTAAAACAAGATAATAGGATGGTAACAATAGTTAATACATTGCGTATTGTTACCTTTAGTTATTCAGGGTATAAGATATAGGGATTTAACTGTCTAAAACAGTATTAGCACAAACCTTTTCAATGAAATAAGACAAAGAGTATAACTATCTGAACTACCTTGCATATATATTTATTAAAAATTTTTATAAAAATTTATTTTAAATATATGTATTATTGTTATTGTTGCTGTTGCTTTTCTCTTCCTTCTTTTCTCCTTTCGCCTACCCCAGTTTCCCTTTCCTTCGAAAAATTTCTTCCCATTTAAAATATCTATTGTACATTTTGGATCTGACTCTTTCAGTTTCTCACACTGGGGAGGCAATATGATGTTTGCACATGTGCATTTGGCTTTTTTCACTTACAAGTACGGTCTCAAGTTGTATCCATTTACCTATAAAGTCTCCAGTCTATCCTTCTTTATGGCTGAGTTGTACTCTATAAAAAGACTGGTATTCTTTTTTATTCATTCCTTAGTTGATGGGCATTTGTTGTTTCCAAGATCTAGCTATTACAAACTGTGCTGCTATAAATATGAGTACACATATACTGCTGTGGTAGGATGTTTTTAATTCTTCTGGGAAGATACGCAGAAGGGCAATGGCTGGGTCAAATGGGATCTCCAACCCTAGTTTTATGAAGAATCTCCATGCTGATTTCCACAGTGGTTGTACCAGTCTACACGCTCACCAACAATGGAGAAGAGTTCCTTTTCCCCTACAGCCTGCCAGCATTGGTTATTGGTTTATTTCCTGATAAATGCCATCCTTTTTGGGTGAGATGGAATCTCAGTGTTGTTTTAATTTGCACCTCTTAAAAACCAGTGATGTTGAACATTTTTTCGTGTATTTATTTACTGTTTGTATTTCTTCATCTAAGAAGTGTGCATTTATCTCAGAAGCCCATTTTTGGATTGGATCTTTAAATTTAGAAGGTCTGATTTTTTTTGAGTTCTTTGTATGTTCTCAATATTGTCTGAGGAACAGCCAGCAAACATTGTCTCCCACGTTGTGGGTTGTCTCTTCACTCTGTTGGTGGTTTCTTACTGTGAAAAAGCTTTTTAATAAGATTAGATCCCAGTTGTTGATTCTTCCTGATAGTCCCCATGTGATCAGGATTCTGTTCATAAAGTCTTTGCCTACATCAATGGCTTCAAGAGTTTTACTTATTCTTCTTCCAGCAGATTTAATGTTTTAATATTTACATCTTTGATCTATTAAAAAGTTAATTTATTGGATAGTGAAAGATATGGATCCCATTTTAATCTCTGGCATGTGAAAAGCCAATTTTTCCAGTTTTCTATTCATTAAAGAGGCTATCTTTCTTCTAGTGAATGTGTTTGGTATCTTTGTCAAAGAGTACGCCTGGAATTGATTCTGCATTTTCTAATCTGTTTCACTGTTCTTTGGATATTTTTTTTTCTTTTTTCTTTTCACTAGTATCATGCTGTTTTTATCACAGTCACTTTACAGAATAATTTCAAGTCAGAGATTGTGATGTCCTGCCTTTCCTTTCGTGCCCGGAATTGCCTTTGCTATTCTAGGTCTCTTCTGGTTCCAAATGAATTTTAGGATTGTTTTCTCTAATTTTACGAGATATGCTGTTGGAATTTTGATCAGAATTGCATTAAATCAGTATAACAGTTTTGGAAGTATGGCCATTTTCATTATACTGGTTCTTCTAACATAAGAGCAACAGATATCTGTTTTGATATCCTCTTCAATCGCCTTTTTCAGAGTACTGTAGTTTTCAATGCAGAGGTCTTTTACAACTTTTGAAAGATTGAGTTCTAGGCATTTCATTTTTATGGATGCTATTGTGAAAGGTGTTGTTTCCCTAATTTCTCTCTCAGTGAGTTTATTATTCATGTACAGGAAGGCTACTGATTTTTGAGTCTTGACTTTGTATCTAGCTATGCTACTGAATTTGCTAATTAAATCTAGCAGTTTTTAGTGGAGTTTTTATGGTTTTCCATTTAGATATCATGTCATTTGCAAATAATAATTTAAATTCTTCCTTTTCTAAAGTTACTCCTTTTATTTTTCCCTTGTCTAATTGCTCTGGCTAAAGTTTCCAAGACTATGTTGAATAAGAGAGGAGACAGTGGACATTGTTGTCTTGTTCCTGATTTTAGAGTGAAAAACTTTCGGTTTTTGTCCATTTAGTATGACACTGGCTGTTGGTTTGTCATAGATGGTGTTTATGAGATTGAAATAAAGACCATCTATTCCAATTTTTGGTAGGATTTTTTATCATGGACGGATGCTGGACTTTATCAAAAGCTTTTACTGCATCTATCAAGATGATCTTATGATTTTTGTCCTTGGCTCTATTAATTTGATGGATTACTTTTATGGATTTATGTATGTTGAACCATCCCTCCATCTTTAGTTGTCTTATTTTTTTACTCATTGCTGAGACAAAATACCTGATGCCCAAAGTTGGGAAAGGAAAGGTTTGTTCCTCCCTTTTGGTCTTGTTGATTTTGACATCTTCTGCTGCCACCATGAACAGCTGCCCTTCTGCCATGCCACCCTGCCTTGCAGCCAGCTGATTATGGACTGAAACCTCTACAAACTGTGAGCTAAATAAACCTTTCTTCCTTTAATAGTGGGCGTTGCGTCTTTTGTCTCACTAACAAGAAAAATAACTAAGAATTTCGTACCAGAGAAGTGGAGTCATTGCTGTGACTGTACCTGACCATGTGGTTCAAGAGCTTTTGGGAATGGCCTGTGGGAAAAGACTGGAAAGGTTTGGAGATGTCACATGGAGAAGTAGAGTTGGAACATCTTAAACTGTTCTGTATGGGAGATTCTGGTTAGAACTCCGATGACCAGAAAGCTGATAGAAATCCTGCCAAGCAAGACCAGGCTTGGGAGGTTTCTGCTGGGAAGAAGTACTGTGTTGGTTGCTGGACTCCAGATGATATGTGTTATGGATTCACAGCAAGTTTTCCTACATTTTGCTCATGCCCAGAGATTTTGCCTCAAACTGAGGTTAACAGTGATTGAATAATTAATCTAGCAGAAGAAATTTCAAGGCAGTTGTCTGCTAAGGTATGGCACAGCTACTACTCAGGACTTTTAGCCAGATTTAGCTTGAGAATCAAGACCAGGGAGCCCAGAAGAATGGTTTATAATGTTGTGTTTAGCCAGAAGAGAAGCTCCAGTAAAGCTGTGGACTGCAACAGTAGAGCAAAGGAGGTCTTGACTGCTTAGAAGGAAAAGGAGTCTATAGAAGCTGACCTGAGGGCATCATGAGAAGCAACAGGACTCTACTCTTGGCAGCCTCAAAACTGCAAA